GTTGAGCAAGGTCGCAGTAAGAAACAAGTCCCTTAATGATATCTTCATCCAATCCTGTTTCTATCTTCGAACACAATTCCACCAACGCCTTCTCCAGCCACTCTCCCGCTGTTTCCATCTCTCCTGATTCTCTCTTCAATAATATGACTAAATTGAGAAATAGTACAAGTTTAATATTATGGAATGACTAAATTAATAACAAGTTTAATATCAAAAAAATAAGTTAATAAAAATATAATATTATTTATTAAGAAGTTAGTTATTTATTCCATACTAATTCAAATATATAATGTAAAATAATCATTAAACCTCTAATGGCGCTCTCTGCAACATTTACGCCTCCTTTGTCTTCAAGCTTCGGCCTTCACTCCAAAACCCATAAGCCCTTTTCTTCTCACTCTCTGAATTTCATCAATCCTCTTAAAATTCGGGCTTCTACTACTCTTGATTATTCCAGCGTCTCTACCAACGGCAAACCCTCCCCTTTGAAGGTAACAATATCTACCCTCACCCCTCTATTACTCTTTTACTTGTTTTTTTGGTTTACATATTCTTATATACACCAATATATTCATTGAAGAGAAAACCCTACTTCATGAGTCCATTATGTTATAGATTTTATGTAATAAACATTTTTAATTGGTTTTGCTTCTTTGATTTGTAAAAAAAGCAATTGTCTTTCAATGGATTATAAATAATAGTAATTTGGATCCCTTTTTAATTGTGATACAAAATATCCAAGGCTTGTGTCAGAATTCACCAGATCTTGACTCATGCATAATGCTTTTTCCTTTTCCCATCAGACTAGTAATTGGCAATGGAAATTCAAGGATAACTCTGTAAACATTTATTACGAGGAGCATGTAAAGGAGACTCCTGAACCTTCCCAAAATATCTTGATGCTGCCAACCATTTCTGATGTTAGCACTGTTGAGGAATGGAGATCAGTGGCTGGAGACATTGTTCAACGTAACGGCAATGTCAATTGGCAGGCAACTATTGTTGATTGGCCTGGTCTGGGTTATTCTGATCGACCAAAGATAGACTATAATGCTGATGTCTTAGAAAAGTTTCTGGTCGATTTCATTAATTCCCCCGATGGACCAATAAAACAAGCAGGTATTGGTGGTGGACATTTTATTTTGTATTGATTTTCACTTAACAGTTCAATTTGATAAAGCTTTATAGTTTTGGATTATATTTGTTTAATCATTTTAGATCGCCATAGCATAGTTAGGTTGCAATTATAGGGATAAATTTCACTACATTATAGTATGTTTGAGAAGTTTCCCTCAGTTTGTTATGTTGCTTTTGGAACATATAATTCCTTACCTGCTTACCAGGGCTTCTAAGACATTTGTTTTTGCCTTGATTTGTGGGTATGCAGAATCCAAGTTGTGGAGTAGTTATTTAATTCAAACTGGTACTAGGAAAATGCAGAGTTTTTTAGACACTAGAACAAGGGATTACATGATTAGTTGCATAGACACACATATTTGGTAAAATATTGAGTTAACGCTTATACTCTTACGAGCTTGCAATCCTTTGACACAAAAACGATCAACTCATGTAAATTCTATTTTGGTAAACTCTTAAATTCAAATAAATTCTTAGGAATCGGTAAACTCTTGACTCTTTTACAGGCAAGTTTACAAGCCTAGGTTCATACATGGTTTTGACCTCAAATTCTGTAGTTTTATTGATATTAATGGGTACTTGGTTGAATTGTCGATATTATGAATTTATATTGGGTTTCTAAAGGTAATTATATCATTATTAATTTTGTTAGACTAGAAAATAATGTAAGTGTCGACATAAGCCAACTTACGTCTTCTCTTTATTGTTTCCATTTGCTTTGGGGTGCAGTTGTACCTTATAAACTATCAGTTATCTTGCCTTAAGCATGGAGTTGTACATACACACATGTTTGTTAAAATTGTGAGTTAACTCAAGTCCTAACTAAATATGTTTTCTTTAATATTTCTAAAACATGTAAACTGCTAGGACTCGAGTTTACATTTGTTTTGACCTAAGCTCCATGAGTTTATTTAAAGTCTTGAGTTTGACTATATATAGGGGCATATTAATGAGAGTACTATCTGAGATGAATGGTTAGGATTAGAATGTAACTAAGGCTAGCATGATTTTTTGTTCTAATCTTGACCACCCGTGTAAGATCCAATGGTCAATAATCACTCCTCCCATTGGATATGCCCCCTATATAAAGTCATTATTTTTCTGTCCTTATATCCAATTAGTATTTCTTATTCTGCCATCTTTTTTGTATTGTTTTACTGAACACTTGTGTCTATCAAGATGCTTCCTGTAAATTGTGGGAGCAGAGAATGTTTTGGGTTTATCCATTGATTTTCTTCTATTTACATAATTTCTTCAAGGATGTATATTTTGTTTTCATGATAGTTAAATATGTCCAATCCCTATTATTTAATGTGACTAACAGTTCCCGTTTCCCGTGTTAAACTAGAAAATGGTTTGGTCATTTTTGGAGGAGGGCATGCTGCTTCAATAGTAATCCGTGCTGCAAAAAAGGGTCTGTTGAAGCCCAAAGCTATAGCTGCCGTAGCTCCAACTTGGGCTGGTCCACTCCCGATTGTGTTCGGTCGAGATTCCAGCATGGAAACAAGGTAATTTGATGCTCTCTTTTTCAGTGGACATAACCTTTTCTTCGCTATAGCATTGCTTTCTAGTGTATACTAAAAGGAAAGAAAGTTTAACCTGATGATCTAAGAAATGTTTCATAACTGAAATTTAAAAATAATTAACTATAGGATATTTTTGTTGCAGTTGTTGAGGCAGGAAAAAAATGTTGTGCCATATTTCTTAATTATATGTAATGATTTGAGCCCCTTCAAAGATCTTCCTATCCCCCTGCTCTACCAAGTCCCCCCCCCCCAAGAGTTCATATTGATAAATAAATTCAAAGAGCCATGTACGTTACAACCAGATAATGTTGCTTCACGATGTAATATAACTGGTTTGTTTTCTCCCTTCCTCATAAACTTGACAGGTATGGTCTTCTAAGGGGCACATTAAAGGCCCCTGCAGTTGGGTGGATGATGTATAACATGCTTGTGAGCAATGAGAATGCAATTCAATCACAATACAAATCCCATGTATATGCAAACCCTGACAATGTGACTCCAGGAATTGTGGAAAGCAGATATGCACTGACAAAACGAAAAGGAGCACGTTACCTGCCTGCTGCTTTCCTGACTGGGCTGTTAGACCCTGTAACATCACGCGAGGAGTTCCTTCAACTATTTGCGGATTTGGTGGGAAAGATACCAGTACTGGTTGTATCGGCAGAAGGAGCTCCTAAGAGGTCTAAGGCTGAGATGGAAGCTCTTAAGGGAGCTAAAGGGGTGAGCAAGTTTGTGGAGGTGCCTGGTGCTCTTCTTCCACAAGAGGAGTACCCTTCTGTGGTTGCACAAGAGCTTTATCAGTTCTTGCAAGAATACTTTGGCATTGTGGCCTAAAATTGACACCTTTTTCTCTCAATAAATTATCTAAGCAGTGGGGAGTAGTAATATCATTGGTGTTCTGCAATGTGCAACCTTCCCCCCTTCTGTATGAAGCTGCAGATTTCTGAGGCACGAATTCAAATTGATGAAAGAAAGAAGTTTGTCCAGCAGTATACATATTTATTTAGTGTAATTGTATTTATTATATTATAAAACCCTTCTTGTGTACGAGTTTTATAGACATCAAATCATTGTTCTGTCTACACTTGACTAGTCCTCTTCATTTCTCTTTCAGAAAGATATCAATAATTTATGAATGAACATGAGTTATGTACTTATGATATTGCTTAATCTATATAAACATCTTGTTAGTTTGTATTGTTTGTGCTTGTTAAATGAATTTATTTGAATAAAATAACTTAGAAGTTAGGTGTTGCACAATTTTGGATTATCAAGCACGTGTAATGCAGGGGTGTACGATGAAAACATATACAAATACGTGTGTGATGGGGGACATATTGTCAACTCCAAATTGCCTATTTGCATTCCCAACTAAATAAACCACTTTTTATTTTACTTAATAATTATTGTTTAATAAAAAGTGTGAATAGGTATTTGGAAGGGTGAATAACCCTTCTCAATATATATATATATAAGAACACACATCCATGTCTACTTATATATAAACAAGTTTATGAACTTCAATCATTTAATTGCTTTCGGGGAGTGCTTGATCCATGTCTTATTTGGAACATGTAATATCTTTTGAAGAATGAGTGTAGGCAAATTCATGTGTTGATTACTTTGCAAAGTATGGATCCCAACCATTGAAGCGCCACCTCTCATCACCTTCCTAAGCATGAATCCAAATATTGAATCTAAAATATGTAAACAAACTGGAATTTAATCCAGTGTATTGAAAGTATAATTTTTTATATTATTATTCATATTTCTGTTCATATTACTGCAACATTTTTGGTATATGACAACGACTTCATCTCCAACGGCTTGAAAACCGTGGTCTTAAAACATAATAGACAACGATTTTAAAACTGTTGTCGATTAAATGTATTGGACCACAATTTTTATATAGTTGTCATAGATTCTCTCAAAATTGTGACCTATTACACTTAAAACCACATTTTTATACTGTTGTCATAGTTGTTCTGAAAACTGTTGACATATTATACTTAACACCACATTTTTATAGATGTTGCCTATTTTTGTAATGGTCACGGTTCTTTCTTACTTTCAATAATTAATTTAGGGGAGAGATCCACTTACTCCAAAAAACACTTACTCTTCATCTTAGCCATCCAATCTTGAAAAATTCAATGGTTTAGATGTACTCACCAATTCAAACCATTGAATTTCCCAAGAATGAATAGTCATGATGTGGAGTAAGTGGATCCCTCCCCTTTATCCCATTAATTTATTATCTATTATTTTATAAAATCAACACAAACACACCTCACCACTCTTTAACCTCAAAACACCAAACACTCCTCACTACTCTTCAACACCAAACACTTCTTCTTTCACTCACGTTCTTCTTTCATTATCTCCTTTCACTTCTCAAACTTCTTCTTTCACTTCACTCTTTACCACACTTCTTCTACTCACGTTCCCTCTTTACTCACGTTCTCATTTCATTATCTCGTTCTCTCACGTTTGCTAAGGGGTTCGGTTTCACTCAAGCTAAGGGGTTCGTTTTTATTTCACTATTTCATGGTGAGTTTGATATCACGCTTCACTATAATACATGATTTGGACTCAATGTAGGGTTTAATTTGGGGGTTGTGTTTGATTATTGGTGAGATTTAGGGTTCTATTTGATTTTGGAGTTTGTTTGATTTGGGGGTTGGGTTTGATTTGGGGGTTTTAGGTTCTATTATGATTCTCAGGCCTTGAAAACCATGTTTTCAGTTTTAGATTTTTAGTCATTTTCTCATTGGTTCTATCATATACGTTGGGAGACATATACTTACAAATTTTTCAAGTAGGTTTTTATAGCTTTCTTTCTTATTTATATCATTCTCAAAGGAGTTAGTTGGGTGTTGATTTGGTATCTTTGTTGTTTAAGCAACAAATGCTAATTTTGGGGGTTTATGTTATGTTATTTGTGGCATTCAATTTGTTTAGCTTGAACCTGGATGACTTGTAACAAATATTCATGGTTGGGGTGATCTTACACATCTTATATAGATATTTTCAGGTCATATGTTCATTTTCCCTGTACTTAATGTATTGATTTCCTATTTCAATAATTTAAGGTTTGTAATTGATAACTCTAAGATATTTCCTATTTCATCTTCCATTCTCTATTGGTCGTTCCTTCCATCAACACGTTGTGACTTATGAATTTTCATACATTGGTTCTTCTTTGATCAATTTCTATGTCAAATTTGGCTTCTCTGATGTTGCTTGCAAAGTGTTCGACTATATGCCCCATAGGAATGTTGTCCCTTGGACTACCATTATGGGGTGCTACTCACAATTGGGCAGTGTTGATGAGGCATTTTATTTATTTAATCAAATGCGTACCGAAGGGATTCGACCCAGTAACATAACAATGTTGATCTTGCTGTTTGGAGTTTCAGAGGTTGGTTCCAATATTATTTTTTTTAAGTTTTAAGCAAGTCTTTATTAGAAGCTTAAGGTGTTGCGGGCAAATCAACTTTTCCAGTTAATTGTAAAGAAATTTTGCAGCAATCTCAGGTTTGCTTACTGGTAATTCTCATATTAGTCTTACATTGTCTCTCATTTTAGACATGATATCTTTGCCCCAAGGAGGCTTATGTGGTGTGAAACAAATACATGTTATAAGTAGCTGGTTTTGTGAGTACTTGTTCTTGGTTTTTTTTAGTCCTACTGTTTGTATATTATCAACTTTAGAAGTCTCATTTTTGTGATTGCAGGGATGTCTTATCCTATGCATCAAATGAATATTATTAATGTCCTTGTTTTTGTGATGTGGAAATGTGTCTATGCGCCTATTCCAATATACATTTGAAAATATCAATGTTTTCTACTTCCAACTTTGCTCTAATGCTACAAAAAACTACTGTTCTTTAAGTAATCTCTTAGTTTGAAAAAGAAGAAGATTTGGAAGCAAGTTAGTTGGGCATGTGCAAGTGGGATAATTAAGTCGACATAAGGTAATTTCTTATTTTCTCAAATGAATATGATCCTTTATTGTACTTGTGTATTAGCACTTAAGAGCATTGATAATTTGTACTTGTGTAAATCTTGTTTGGGAAGTATTGATAATTTGTATAAGAGCATTTTTTTTAATCCTTTCAAACACTTTTAAGTAACAATGTTATGGGCAAGTTTGTTAAGTCTCTTAGTGAATGTGGATTTGTTAAGAAACCATCATTTTACATGGTAACAGATGATTTGGTAATAACACTTGGTTCATCTATCTGTGTGGTTTTATTTCTGACTAAGTCTGGTGTTTCTTCTTCTGATTTAGATGAACAAATAATTAGGATCGGCAAGAGAGATGTAAACCGTGTTACTGAATTCTAAACTTTAAATACTTCAATCAATTTTCATTACACACATTTATAACTTAAACTTGTTTTGCTTTTTTTATTTTTGTTTTGCAGTGTCTCAGCCTTCTTAAAGCTTCTTTGATCTCATCTTCGACTCTAACAGATGTTCTAGGTCAATAAATATTTCCCATTAAGAATGAGAAACTTACTAAGTGAAATTGGCATTTTCTACATTTTTATTGTTTTTATTTTGAATATTCCTATTGAGTTTGTGTTGGTTATTGCTAGTGTTACGTTTGAACTTATGTACTTGTGTATTAGTAGTTTTGTAGATACTACTATATGTTGGACTAATTGTTTTTAATTTATATTGATGCAGCACAATCATTTGGAAGACAAATTGCCGCATATAGTACATGAAGACGAATATGTAGATTGGTCTTCATAATTGAAACATGAAGATTTCCTTTTTAGATTAGAATTATATTTTGTTAAACAATAATGGAAACGTAATTGTATGTCTTTTGTAGTATCTTTTTGACAAATAGATACACAATTGTATAACTTATTAATTTATATATATTAAGTACTTTTGTCATATAATAGTGACGCGACGCCATATGTTAAATGTGATGTTTGATAAAAAATTATATGTGATATAATGACAAAATTATTTTTAAACATATGAGTAAATCAATTGTATAAAATGAACAAAGAAAATGGTTTTAAAGTCATACTACTACGCAACGGTTTTTTAGCCGTTGTAAATGAGCCTATTTGAAATGAACAAAGACAACGGTTTTTAGCAGTTGTAAATGACCAAAGGCAACGGTTTTTTCCTTTTTCTATAGGCAACAGTTTTTAACCGTTGTCTTTAACGATGGAAAAAAACCGTTGCCTATTTAAAACATTAGACAATTGTTTTTAAAAAGTGTTGCCAAAAGGCAAAAAATTGTGGCCTAAACCAAAGGTAACGCCTCAGACTACTACAGTTAATGGCAACGGTTTGACAAAGAGAACAGTTTTTTGACTTTTGGCCACGGTTTTCAGGCGTTGCCGTAGGTAAAAAATGTTGTACTCTATACACGGTAACACATACTGTTGTCATAAATAATGGCACTATAATTATTAGTTGTGTTTGATTTATAAAAGTAATATATGCATCATCTATTTTTCATATTTAATTATCATTAAAACTTCAAAAAAAAAACTAATCTAAATGAATGATGTAGTCACTGTATATAAATTTGTATTTTTATTTCAAATTGTGATATCTTATTATTATATCTTATTTTCTGGAGGAATTAAAAAAGAAGGAATGTGAAAATAAAAAGACATTTTTATAATTATTAGTATTAGTAAATTACCAAGTAGAATAAAATCAGAAAATAAATCACACACCACAATTTTGTTTTACGTAATGTGTAACTCACACAATTTACACAGATAAGAATAGCATAAACAAATTAAAGGCGGTGATGAGGGACAGAGATCACATGTCCAAACAGTGTCTCATTCTCTGTCCCAAACTAATAAAAATGTTACATTTGGTTTTTTTAAAAATTCTTTTATTCATATGATAATATACCATTGGTCCGGGACATGGAATGGGACACCGTTCGGGACGGGTGATCTTGATCCGGTGACGAGTTATGTGAAATTTAGGTTTTATATCGACAAATAACGTTATGCTGAGGTAGCGAGTTTATTTTGTCCTTAATTCCTTTGTTCGGCGATTAAATAGGGCTTGTTCTCTTGTCTCTATATAAATACGTACACAAGAAGGTAACTCCACTTGTATAATTGTAAGCAAGTTTGATGAACCTTTGAAATTTTAGAGTGAATATAATATAAGATAGAAGATAGGTCTATCCTTTTCTCAAAAATCTTGGACCTTAGAGCGGAAAAACTATCTCAACTCAGAAGAAATATAGATACATCACTCCTTCTTTATTGAAAATGGGAAGACCCCCAAACTATGAAAAAATTGGAATTAAGAAAGGACCTTGGACTCCAGAAGAGGATATCTTGTTGGTCTCTTACATTCAAGAACATGGTCCTGGTAATTGGAGATCTGTTCCAACCAATACAGGTATAGTAATATATATATATATATCCACTTAATTAACCTATTATTACACATTTCTTTATTTGATTTATTCAGTTTTCAATTTTCATTCTTTACTTAATTATAGCTTTTCCATATTCAGTTCACATATATGCGTGAGTATATTGTAATTAACTATACACAAAACAATTTTCATTTCATGTGGGAATTCATTCTTATGGGATAAGATAATTAATTTTGTTTTATCCAGGTTTGATGAGATGCAGTAAAAGCTGCAGACTTAGATGGACAAATTATCTTCGACCAGGTATCAAACGAGGTAACTTCACTGATCATGAGGAGAAGATGATAATCCACCTCCAAGCTCTTTTGGGCAACAGGTATGTGTACTTACTACTTGTTCTCATCTTAATAACAATTTCCAACTACAAGTATATATAAGAATATGATCATGAAATGAAGAAACAAGTATTTCTTTATTTAACAAAAGGAAAGAAAGTTTGGATCTGCTGTGCTTTAATTGATTTGCTAAAAATATTATTGAATGAGCTTGATCACTAGACCAAATAATTATACAATGGGTGCAGATGGGCTGCTATAGCTTCCTATCTTCCACAGAGGACAGACAATGACATAAAAAATTACTGGAATACTCATTTGAGGAAGAATCACAACAAGCTTCAAAATGGAGGAAATGATCATAATCAAGAAGGGCATTCTTCTTCTTCTTCTTCTGCACAAGAACAGTCAAAGGGTCAATGGGAGAGAAGGCTACAAACTGATATTCAAATGGCCAAACAAGCCTTATCTGAGGCTTTGTCCTTTCATAAACCAACAACCAATACTTTCCCTGAAACCAAACCCTTAACTTTTCATATTCACACTACTACTACTTCAACCTACCCCACAAATCAACCAAACAATGCACCTTCCTATGCATCAAGCTATGAAAACATATCTAAATTGCTAAAAAACTGGATGATGAAATCACCAAACACACCAAATTCCTTCAGCAACAACATGGTCACCACAGGGTCATGTTCCAGCGAAGGAGGAAATAGCACTACTGATCAATGTACACAAGATCATGCTTTTGACTCCTTATTGAGCTTCAACTCCTCCAAATTTGTTGTTGAAGAGATTAAAAACACCTTGACAACTAATAAGACGGGCGTGTTCCAAGATCTAAGGAAGACAAACATGGAGACTCAACAAGTGCCTTTTACTTTGCTAGAGAATTGGCTTTTTGATGATGGAGCTGTTCAATGCCATGATGATCTGATGAACATGTCACTCGAAGAAAGTACTTTAGGTTTGTTCTAGATAACAGATCGATCGAAGGTCCTTGTTACTACAGACA